CCACACACCTACATAAATCCAGTCTAGCATCAAGATCAGGAAGATAGCAATATGTAAGACAGATGACTCTAACTCAACACAATCTCCTTCTTCCTGCAGGGCCTAATCTATTACACACATCCACATAGCAACTCATGAGATTTATTTATGTAATTAGAAAACAACTACAGTTTTTAAATTATATTTTTTCTCTAAATACAGTATGTTCACACCAAATGTAATCCAGAACAGTGTAAGATGTTTATTTGCATTTAAGCTCATCTCAAAGTCAAGGGACTGTTTTTAGTCTCCTTTCTTCTCTCTTTTCCTTTACACTTTAGGAATTTTCTCCATATACAAGTGTATTTGCAGACAAGCCTATGATCTCAAGACACCAAGTGTCAGGGAGAAAGAAAGGAGCTAAAGGGAAAGGCAGTACCCAGGGAATTGCCATTGTAGCCACCTCTCCAAAGCATGTTCAGGAAGCTGGTAGCAAGCTCCTGTGGTAGGCCTAGCTTTCCCCAAGTTCTGGATATAGAGCGTTGCTGCCGTATAGAAGATGGTGCTATTTGCCAGTGTCTCACCAACGACTCAGAAAGACAAGCAAGACCACCTTCCCTAGGCTCCTTGCCCAGATCCCGAAGGTGAGGGATAAGACAATGGAGCTGAGGCTGAACCTCAGCTCTGTGGTTCTCACTGGGGCAAGAATAAATGTCCTGAAAACAACCACTCCCAATGAAAGGTTGCAAACTCAGGGTGATGCTTCCAAATAAAACTGGCACAATCGTGGCCGATGGGTGAAAAAGCTGACTCGGTATTTCAGGCTTGCTGTGGTAGCTGCCTACAAGAGATAACTCTTTCTTCTCTTAATCTACAGCTATCTTAACCAAACAGCTTTACATTCCTGGCAGAAAATTCACATGGAATCTCTTAAGTTTGCGCCCCTATGACATCTGAGTCCGTCTGCTGTAAAGACTGGGTACAACGTATAAACCTTGATGTTACTCATGCATCCTTTCTCAGTAAGAGAATAAAAACCGCCTTTGTTTAAGAATATCTATAATTAGAACTGATTGAATCTTCACATTTTCCTGTGGCTTCACTCGAGGCGATTCACAGGCCCTTGACTCGGTTGTGCTAATTGAAGGTGCTTTGTCTTCCCCTCATCACACAGTGGCTTCAGTGGCGTTTTGGGGTCACCAGAGCTTCCCATGCAGTGTTTACCAGTGTCATGCAGGAAAGTATTATGCCAGAGTCTACCATAATTTTGCTTGTAGTTAGTGAAACCTATCCATGCAATTTCTGCAAAAGCTAAGAGGTCCGTGGGGAAAGAGATCACAACTCAACAGAAAGGATGTATTGCTGATCTCTGCAGTCCAAGGCACCCAGCCCTTGGCTTTGTAGAGAGTGGACATTCAGTATAAGTTTGAGAGTGTGTTTTGTGAGGAGACCCTATTTACATCTTTTCTGCTTGTAAAAAATAATAAGTACTCAAGGCAGAATACTTGAAGAACACAAAGGAAAAAAATGACCTGAGTCAGGAACCCTGAGGGGCTTTTATCTTGGCTCTGGGGCGGAGGGTAAACTGCTCATCCCCCTTGGTTTTTATTTGCAAGTGCTATAAAAATTTCCAGCCTTCCTATCTCATCTTTCCTGTCTTTTGCTGTGATGCTTTAGTGAATGAATGCAAGAAAAAATGTTCCATAAGCCATATGTGGTGGGGCACACCTGTAATCTCAGCACGCTGGGAGGCTGGGCGGGTAAACTACAAATTTGAGCCCAGCCTGGGCAATTTAACAAGAAAAAAAATTTTAAGGGGTGGCGACGTAGCCCAGCAAGACGGTCTGGGTTCAGTTCCCAGTACAGCAAAAACGAAACAGAACAACGGCAACAAAATAAGTTCTACAAAACTATTTGGTAACAGGCGCATTTGGTGCTGTTTCTAATTTCAGGGCATCAATCAAAATGCCATGCCGGCAGGGATACTGGAATCTTTTCATTTGCGTACAATTTTGCTCTACTTGACAACCTTACTTCTTATCGCCTGACAAGAAGGATGAAAAAGCACATCATTGGTTAGGATTCCCAAGCCATTAATCTGCAATCTTTACCTATAATGCTGTTTGTTATTTTAACCACACAGGGGGTTGTGATTGATCCTATGTGGACTCTATAAAATTAATTTTTTATCTACAATAATTTTTATTTAGAAATTCAGAATTTATATATAAATTCAGAATGTGCATAAATTATAGCTGAACGTGTAAATTTTTGTTTTGGTTTAGTTGCATTTTTATTAATGTTGTTGATATAGTTTAGATATAGATAATGATCACATTCATCATAGGGAATTTGTACCTGTATGTGGTATACCTTGCTCCTTCTTTTTTCCCCATTGTCCTCCTTTCCCTTCAACCCCACTTCTTATTTACAAAAGCTTTGTTTCCATTTTTCTTTCTTTTTGGGGGGTGTTTCTGGATTCGAACTCAGGCCTTTGCACTTGCAAGGCAGGCAGCAGAACCGCTGAGCCAAATCCCTGGCTCCCATTTTTCTTTCCTTTCTCTTGGTTTTCTTTTCCCTTCCCCCCCCACCCAGTTCCCCTTCCCATTTGAATATTGTTCTTCCTATTTCACAATATCTGTTATACACTTTGATCCTTATTTACACTTTCAGTTTCTCGTACAAGGAAAACAATGCAACATCTATATATGTGTATCTGATTTACTTCACTTAATGATGTGATCTCAAACTGCATTGATCTACTAGAAATGTCTCAAGTTTATCCTTCCTTATGAATTTAAAAAAAAAAAAGCACAACCTCTTTATCCATTCATTGGTTGATGGACATTGGGCTGTTTCCAAGATTTAGCTATTACAAATTGTGCCGCTATAAACATGGGTGCGTGTATATCACTGTGGAATGATGCTTTAAATTCTTTTAAGAAGATACTGAGAAAGGGAATAGCTAGGTCAAATGGAACTTCTAGCCCTAGGTTTTTGAGGAATCTCCACAGTGGTTGCACCTGAGTACACTCACACCGGTAGTAGAGAAGGGTTCCTTTCTCCCCACAACCCTGCCAGCATTTGCTATAGGTTGATTTCTTGTTAAAAGTCCTTCTTTTTGGATTAAAATAAACTCAGGGTTGTTTTAATTTACCTCTCTTAGATCTCCAGTGATGTTGAACATTTTTTTCATACATTTCTTAGCCATCTCTACTTCTTTTTCTGGGAAATGTCTATTCATTTCAGATTCCCATTTTGGATCAGGTCTTTAAATTTGGAGGGTCTTTTTTTTTTTAAGTTTTTTGTATTCCAAATATTAGTGCTTTGTCTGAGGAACAACTGGTAAAATTTTTTCCCACTCTGTGGGTTGCCTCTTCACTCTGCTGGTGATTTCTTTTGCTGTGAAAAATATTTTTAATAAGATGGGATCCCAGGGCTGGGGATTTAGCTCAGTGGTTCCACCGCCTGCCTCACAAGTGCAAGGTCCTGAGTTTGATCCCAGATACAAAAAAACAAAAACAGAAAGTATGAAGGAAAAAGATAGGATCCCAGTTGTTGAGTCTTTGTGATATTTCCTGTGTGAAAAGGGTTTTCATTATAAATTCTTTGCCTACAACTATGTCTTCAAGAATTCTACCTGACCTCTCTTCCAGCAGACTTTGTTTCTGCTTTAATATTTAAATCTTTGATCCATTTCAATTTTAGTTTAGTACATGATGAGGGACATGGGTTTAGTTTTAGTCTTTGACATGTGGAAAGCCAGTTTTTCCAGCACCATTTACTAAAATGGCTATCTTTCTTCCAAGGAAAGGTGTTTGGTCCTTTTGTAGATGATAGGTGGGTGACTGTTTTCAGAGTTGTTTCTGCGTCTTTCCAGTCTGTTTCCACTATTCATGGCTAACAAAGCAATGAATTTTTTTCACACTTTTATTGAAATATAATATACACATTGAAAGTATACATACAAGTTAGCAAGCAAGTGAGCTTTCAAAATCTGAACTTGCCTCAGATCAAGAAACAAAATCTCAATTGCATCAAACATTTAACTTCTGAATTCTCCAATATCTTGTTTATGAAGTACTAAAGATCTATGCTATGGAATATAGACTTTGTAATATATTCATTTTTCCATCATATAAATATATAAATTATAATCCAAACATAGAGTTTTCTTGGACAACTATTAAAGGATGCTTGCTCTCAATGAGATGTAACTGTTAGATTTCTTTCCTGCTGTTAATCAAAATATTTAAATAATTCTGACTTCTCAAGACCTAAGGCAACTTCTTCCAAACAAACATGCCACAGAATTTAAATACTTTTGGGCCAGGGGAATAGCTCAGTGGTTCCACCACCTGCCTTGCAAGCAGAAAGACCTGAGTTCAACCCCCAGACCAATTAAAAAAAAAAACAGAATTTGAATACTTTAAAGAGCTAGTTAATAAGTTGAAGAATCTCAAAGAAAAATTATTGCAAAAGGGATGAAAACAATCATGACCATTCACTAATAAAGAGTTTGTCTTTGTTGTTTATAATAAAAATTAAACAGTAGGGCTTATATTCAGTCCAGGTATAAAGTTGATGGCATTGATGGATTTAAAAAAAAAAAAAAAAAACACTTTTTCCTTTCAATCCATTAATGAGGAAAATCCAGCAACACAACATTTCCATGGAGCTGCCCTGGGTAAAAAAGGGTCTTCTTCCCAATTCACAAAGTTCTGCCAAGGAAAGTAAGGAACAAGATTCCTGTCATGAGTTTCCGTGTCTATCACTGCATCTGAGCAGTGGCCTGACAGTCGGTGTCATTGACCTGACGCACCCAGGGATCATCAATCATACCTCGGCCTCTCCGGAGACTTCTTCAGATGGCCCTGATCTGGTTATGGTTCTAACTGAAATATCTCAATTCAGCCATGAGAAAATTGACTCTGCCACCACTGACGGCTCACTGGAGCTCTTTGAAAAAAAAAAAAAAAAATCTCAGGTCTTTAAAATACCCTCCAGAAAAACTTGTTCCTTCAGCCTCAAAGATCTTTTCGCGAGTCACCTTTTCCTTCATCACTGTTCCTTCGCTCTTTGCTTCTGCCTAGTCATCTTCTTAACCTCCCTGCCGTTCTCCCCACTCCTTTAGGGCATTTTTGTGGAGGGCTTGCGCTGCATCAGGCTCCCTGCCAGGTGTTCATATCCAGGCATCCACAGGTGGAACAAACATGGGCCTTGTCTTCACAGAGTTCGCCACCTAATGGGAGAGCCAAGTTCATCAAATAATCAAACACCACAGCGTTTTGCTTGCTTTCCCCATTTGCTGTAGCTTTTAAAGCTTACTCATCTTCCAGGGCCCAGTCAAAATCTTTTTGTCCAAATGTACAGTGACCAGCCCATTCACCCAACAGTGACCTGCACCTTTGCTGATCACACGGATCCATGAGTGACCGGCCAGCTTCCAGCCCAAGACAGACGTTAGTGACCAAGGACAGTACTCTTCCCACTGAGCCAGGAGGAAACCTCCAGACCTCACCCACATGGGAAGTCAGGCAGTCACTGCCAATCAAGTAAACAGACTCTTTGAAAGAGAGTCCACTCATCCCATTCCATTGATCAGAGACCTCTGCCTTCTCTGTCATCCCACTATTACGTCTGAATCTTGTCCCTAATACTGTCTATATGGCCTCCAAGGCAGGGACTGTACCTTATGTCCTCGAGAAGCTCTAATTCTGCAACCGTGTGCTGAGTGCTGACTACAGGAAGGCCCTGCCTTAAGGGCTACAGGAACTATGAAGATTAATAACACAGTCCCTGCAGCCAAGAGCATTCAATTTTTTTTTTTTTTTTTTTTTTGAGAAATGAAAAGCTCACATATCTACAGTACAGGGCAGCACAAAATGAATATCATAAGGCAAGCCTAGAGGTTTAGAAAAGCTACAACCTATGATCTAAGACAGACTCGGATCATTAAAACTCTCCTCTCCTGTCTGCCCCCTACCCCAACACTTTCCTTACTGAGTCTGGAGAAAGGGCTCTTACATAGTACCTGGTTGACTGATTAAGGTCACCTCGGTCTGGCCATGAGATCTCTTGTTTGTTTATTCCTGGATGTGAAACATCTTTCCAATCTCTCATTCAGAGATTCTACCTAGATAAAGACGCAGGTAGAAGCAAATCGCACAGCCTTGGCAATTACTCCCTGCAACACAGGGGGATGGAAATCAACACACATCGCTCGTATGTGGTTGAAATTTCTCTGGCTCTATGGAGGGGGCAAGTTTTTCTCACCTGAAATTCTTCTAAATTTCCTCTCTTGCCTCCAAAGTAGCAGCTCCAGGCTCCTCCTCTTGGCCTCCTGGCCTTAGCAGTTTGTTCTAATTTCTACTACTTCCTCTCAAGGAAAGAAAATAAAGGTCCTTTGACCTCCTCCCTCACTCTCCCAATAAACATCGTCTTTGTTCCTGCCTGGGTGCTCCTGATGCCCACTCAAGACCTTTTCTTTCCCACATTTTGCTTTCCTCTCATTACAGATTCATCTCTTGTCTCCACTTTGCCTCCTACTGCCATGTGACAAATCTCTTTTAAAATAACTCTGGTGACTCACCAGTGGATACTGTATTCCATTTATATGCCCCCCACCAAGGGGCATAAAGAGTTTCACAGATATCCGGGCTTATTTTTTACCTTGCTCTTGTAAAAGGATTATCTGTTGGAGGGGAATAAAAATGTACTTAGGTCCTTTGTCTGAATCACTTGCATATTCGGGCTGATGATCAATTTTTCTTGTTTTCAGGCCTCTTCCTTCTCCCACTGTCCCTCTCCTTGGTGATTTCTTACTTTCAACGGGTTCATTAGTATCCACAATAGACCAAAATCTTACCAATCAGCTGTGCTGCTCCCAAACCAAACACTGAACTGGAAACCTCACAGGGCCCTGAATTCCTCCAACTAGTGCCTTGCCACTTTGGGATGTAAGCAGGCCCCAGTGCTGCCTTGGGACCCCTGATCTTAGTTCCCACTGCCTCTGCCTTACCCAGAACGTCATCTTCTCCAACCCAGACCCATGTGGTGGTCATCTAACCCGACCCCACCTCCCTCAACCACTTCCTGCCTCCTCTAAGTTGTTCTAAATCTTACATTCAAGCGTGGGATTCCATAGGTCCCCCTGTTTAAAATCCTAAGCATTGCAGTGGTACTCTGGACCTTTCCAACCTAACTTCAAGCTACTTTCCTCTGAGATACCTTAGCTGTCTAACCCATCTATCTGGAAATAAGCTGTTTCCTTTAAGATGCCTCAGTTTCCCTGCAATTCTGCCTGCGTTCTTGTAGCTCTCTTTGGCCTGAATATCAGCATGAGCCTTTCTCCCTGGCAATCCCCTTCTGTTTGCAGGCGCAAATTTTGTATCTGCTTCTTCTGGTCTTCCCCAGAGCAGATTCAAATGTCCTCCCTTCTTTATTCCTACACATTTTCGTGTTAATTGCTAGAGAAGAGATACCTGCAAGATAGGACATATTTATACGCACTTTATTGGTAACCTATGTCCCAGTTTCTCTGCGAGGCACCCCTTACATAGATATCAAATTTACCTAAACTCTTGAGTAAGACAGCAAATAAAGACGCAGAAAACTGTATCGACAGGAGCAGTAAAAGACAGGAGCACAGAGGCTGAGTGAGAACATGAGGGCTGTCTCGTGTGGACAGAGGACATCAGGAAGGTTTCCCCGAGGAGGGGAGTGCAGAGCTGGGCTGTTTCAAACTCTCGAGCGGGAGAGGCTTTGAGGCCAACCTAGATTCACGACAACCATCTGGACCCTGTGCCTGTGAACCCTGCAGGTGCTCAACAAATCCTCAGGACCTTTGGTAAATCAGAAAGACTTGGTTCGTGATCTCGGAAAGTGCACTAATTCACAGTCATTGCTCTTCTATCCGACCCCTACTTCTTCCGGAAGGGTGACTCCGATTTTGTTCCCACAGATCCGACCTCAGCTTAGGCAATAAATAACAAGGCAAATATCACAAATTATATTGTTTCTTATCCCGTTCCTGGATCCCTGCAGCCAAGGGAATTGGTGAACAGACTCGTGGGCCTGACACATTGACACACTGCCCGTAGGCGAATTCTGTTCTCCCTGGCTAAGCAGCAAGAAGGAAAATGTGTTGCTCCGTGCCAGGTCGAGTTTGAAGCTCCCAGGTGCCCAGACGCCTCCCAGATGGCTCCTGTCTTCTCCGCACTCAAACTTCTGCCCAGCAGCCAGTGCTGTTTTCCACAGTAGACCTCGCACACGCTCCTCGGTCCGGCAGACAAGGCCCTGGTGAGGCGGCCTCTGTCCCCACCCCACCCCAGTGTCGGCCTCGCTCCGTCCAGCTGTCCCACGACACTGCTGGCATCGCTTACGCGCCAGTCTCTGGCTGCGGGCCTCTGCGTGGGAGCGGATAACTGACTCGTCCCTCAGGTCCTTTTCAAGGGAAGCTGACCTGCCACTCGCCACTCACGAATCCTGCCCCGATCGGCTCTGTGCGACCAACGTCCCGCAGCCCTCATTGGTTCCCACTTTCTGCTCTCCTCAAGCGCGTGCTTGCTGCCTGCTTCTGCTTCTGCTTCTGCGTAAACTGAGCTTCCTGAGGGTGAGGACCTGAAGGCCAGGCATCTGCTCACCCTGCACTGCCCAGCACAGCCTCTGGGAGGAGTGGGCCCACGATGAGCCCGGTGCAGGGTGAGTGAGGGCTCAGTTCCTGGAGAAAGGGGCAGGGAGATTTTCCCCAGAATGAAGAAGGGATTTCTTTCTGTTCGTTGCTGCGACTCCAGCCTCTGGCCCATAGTAGGCAGGCAGTGCGCGTCGGCCAAAGGAATGAATGGAGAAGGAAATTACGTCAACCTGAGCAGTCTTTTCCTGAGCCTTTACGTATGTTTTGGTCTGAGAGAGGAAGGGGCAGGAAGCGGCTGTCCACGGCTTGGACTTGGGACTCTGCATCCCTGGACTCAGGGCAGATCTTTACCCATTGCTGACCCAAGTGCTGAAAGACCCGATGAAAATGCAATTGAGAATGTGCTGAAACGGTGATCACATCAAGAAATGTTCTACATGACTGTTTGGGACATTAAAAGCTCATTGGCGGTAAAGCATAATGTAAAAATTAGCATAGCAACAAAAATAGAAACTACCATCACGTGGCAAGATTATTGCCCAATTCAAAAATTCATTAATGTTTACTCGAATAAATTCTTTTTATACCAAAATTCTAGCTTTTATGAACTGGAGAAGTAAAAGAAACACCAAGTCCTGTTCCTATCCCCTCTAATAAGAGACCAAAAGAACCTGAGAAGTAAGAAATTTATTTTCAAGCTATCAAATTTGACTGAAGGCTCCTGTTGAGTAATGGACCCTCAGAATAGAGAGGCAATGACAATTAAATTATTTTGTTTGTTACTCTATAGATATCACTCTGATATGAGGACAAGTTGAAAAGTTGACATAGATCGTGAGTAGTCATTGTCACAGTTGACTCGAGTTTGGAGAAACATTACAGCATGGAGACTAAGGGTATAGAACCCAGCTTTCATGAACACCCACAAAGAAACATACATTTAGGTCAGTAATAGAACATTGAGAATACATTAGGATTCCTAATATATAATGAGTAGGCTTCAGAATCACTCAATAAATATTTATTGGTTATAGCAAATAAGTGAACATGAAAGACATTAAAAATAGATAAGAAAATAAATTTATTCATGCAGCACCTTCATAAAAGGTGAGTACAAGCTAATTAGTCCATGGCCTTGTGGAGGGCACAGGATGTTGGAAAGCCTCTGTCAGGCCAGGGTCGCCGCCGTATAGGTGGTCTGCTGGGCTCCCGTGGGGTGGGTCTGGATCCTGTTTCCGCTGTTGGACCTGCTGTCTATGCTTTTGACCGCTGATTTCACCCACTTGTGTTGTGGATCAGCACAGACCTTGAGGCCACGCCTGGTAATAAAACTGAAAGGCAAGGAAGAGAGAAGGGGTTAGTCACATTCTCCAAGCCCCAGGGTAAGGAGTTAAGAACCGACCAACACAAGGAGACTTGTCCAGAAATCAGCCAAAGAAAGAGTCCTTGAGAACCCACAGAACATCAGGACCAGCTTTCTCCCGCCTTCATTTTAACTACAGGAGGAAAGACTCCAGGTACATTCTGGGCCTCTGAGCCCCACCATTTCCAGACTCTTTGTGCCACCAGTTCTGCCAGACATTGTGACTCAACTGGATAACTGAGGTCACCTAGTTCAGTTATGACATATCCTGTTCCTTTCCAAACCCAGACATACTTATTTGGGGATTCATTTCTTAGGGTAAACCTATAAATATACATTGGGGAGCTGCTACTCCTAAGAATGAGATCTGGAAAGAGAGACCATTCCCTCGACAGCCCTACCTGGCCCTGCGGGCTCGGCCCCTACCTGACTCCCACTCTCCCTTGGCTCTGGGGGCAAATCCTGGCCCAGGGCAGCCGGGCCTCAGCCTCAGCCTCAGCCTCATCAGGGGCCCGGTCCTCGTGCGGTTACCAGCCAGGCTCTTCCATCGGGCAAAGCCACAGAGAGGACTCAGATCCTTATCTGGAGGCTGAGTTTGGGAAAGTTCATTATGTAGGAGGGCTGCAGGGAGACACCAGGACTACTGAGGGGAGAGCTGGGGGTGAAGTGGAGGCTTCCTCTGTGCCGACCCGTCTGTCCTGAAGGGGGCAGCATTTCCCCTACTTCGCCCTCTTGCTCCCCCAAGCCAGGCCACCAGCAGACACTCACATCACTGCCCTCATGGAGCCCTCCTTGATGGTGTAGGTCTTGATTCTCTTCAACGGCAGTGGCTTGGTTGTTAGACTCACACAGAGACGCCTTTCTGGGACTTCACTGCCCACACCTGGTCAAACAAAACAGGTGAATAGAAGTGTAAGTCAACGATCTCCAGGTGCAGGAGAGCCAGCACCTCTTACACGTAAGGAGGCAGGAATGCAGGGCCCCTGCTCCCTTCTGGAAGAGATGGTTTTATTGGCATCCTCAGTCTTCTGTGCATTGTGCAGTCTTAGTGTTTGACTAATTTAAAAGATTAGATAAAGCGCAGCCTCAGGCCCCTCATCACCACGGTGAGGCGAACCACAAGGCCTTTCCTGGGCTTGCATTCTCAAATCCTCCATGATGGGGAGCCGATGTCCCTGTGACACTCGCTCATTTCTGCAGCAGCAACTCATCTGGCGCCTGCGGTGACCCTACGCTGAGGCTCTCGTGAAGACAGACACAGACCCTGCGGCCCGGGACAGATCTTCTAGTGAGAGTCAGGGAACACGCTAGGGAGCGAAGGGAGGAGACGGTTTCACCTCCACAAATGCGGCGTGTGGTGGGGTCGTGTGGGCGGGGAAGGATCAGTGGGGGAAGCTTGCCTTCCACTGAATAAATCAGATCTGCTCGTTTTCATGGTAAAATGCGAAATATACAAAGGGAGGGTTTCCTGGAGCGTTCATCCTCAAAGGAATGGGCC